CTGAGTTCGAGACCCACCTGGGCAACTTGGCGAGATCTCATCTCTACAATAAATCAAAAAATTAGCTGGGCATGGTGGCACACACCTGTAGTCCCAGCTACTTGGAAGGCTGAGGAGGAAGGATTGCCTCAGCCCAGCCAGTGGAGGCTGTGGTGGCTGTGAGCATGCCACTGAGCACCAGCCTGGGCAGCAGAGTGAAACTCCAACTCAAAAAAAACCCTCAGAGACACCTGAGTACATACTGTCCCTTCTCATTTAAGCCACTCTCCCACTCTTGCCTCTGACCTCTGTCCCCTCCTTTCGTTTCTCTTTATCACGCCCCTATTGACCTCTGGCCTGTTTCACAGCCTCTGTCTGGGCTCCTGATGCCTGCTTTTCCTAGCTCAGGCCTCTTGCCCAGAGTAGTCAGTTTTGTCTACTAGAGCTCAGCTCTGTCCCTCCCCTGCTCCAAAACCTCTGTGGCACAGAATTAAGCAGCAAAGGCCCCTTGGCCCTCAAGGCTGTTGATATAGACTTAGCTTTAACCAGTTGGAACAGCCTTGGCTCAAAGGGGGCTCAAGCGATCCTCCTGTCTTGGCCTCCTAAAGTGCTGGGATTACAGTTGTGAGCAACCGTACCCAGCCAACCTTTCTTTGGTGATTTAGGATAGGATTCTGAGATCATGTTAAGTAAAAAAAGGGGCAAGTGACAATGTATTACATATACTCAACTTTGAAAACATAGACGTAGAAAAATACTAGAAGGAAGTATGTGAAAATATCACATATTTTCACTGTGGCTGTTTATGGCATATAGCTTGTTATTTTCTTTCTTTTTTTTTTTGGAGTAGGAATCTCACTCTGTTGCCCAGGCTGGAGTGCAGTGGCACACTCACAGCCACTATAGCCTCGACCTGCTGGGCTCAGGCAATCCTTCCACCTCAGCCTTACAAGCAGCTGGGACTACAGGCGCACACCACCATGCCAGGCTAATTTTTTGATTTATCGTAGAGACGAGGTCTCACCAAGTTTCCAGGCTGGTCTCAAACCCCTGGACTCAGGCAATACTCTCACCTCAGCCTCTCAAATGCTGGGATTATAGGCTTGAGCCACTGCACCCGGCCATTTGCTTATTATTTTCTATTTTGTACTTTTCTACATTTTCCACAAGGGAAACATGATTCTCTGATTAGATAAAAAACCATTTTAAAATGTTTAAGTTAGTCCTTGGCTGCTCCTGTTCCCCCTTCTGGAGCCCCAGCCCTGGAGGCTCCATGGTGCTCAGCAGAATTTCTTCCTCCTCCTGCTCTATCCTGGGCTCTTCAACCCTGAATGGTGCATTTATCCCATTTTACTTTTTTGTTTGTTTGTTTTTAGTCAGAGTCTCACTCTGTTACCCAGGCTGGAGTGCAGTAGCACAATCATGGCTATTGCAGCCTCAACCTGCTGTGCTCAGGCTGTCCTTCCACCTTAGCCTTCCAAGTAGCTGGGACTGCAGGCATGTGCTACCAAGTCTGGCAGATTTTTTGATTCATTGTTGAGACAGGGTCTCAGTGAGTTGCCCAGGCTGGTCTTGAACTCCTGGGCTCAAGGAATCCTCTCGCCTCGACTTCCCAAAGTGCTGGCATTACAGGTGCGAGCCATCGTGCCCAGTGTCAGGTGTCCCATTTAATTTATTTTTTTGTTTTTTATTTTTATTTTTTTTTTGGGTTGGAGTCTCACTCAGTCACCCAGACTGGAGTACAGTGGCCGCTCCCGGCCACCGCAGCCTCGCCTGCTGGACTCCGGCAATCCTTCTGCCTCAGCCTTCCCAGAGCCGGAATTACAGGCATGCGCTACCACGCCCGGCTGATTTTTTGATTTATTGTAGAGATGAGGTCTCACTGCCCAGGCGGGTCTCGAACCCGCGGGCTCAGGCAGTCCACTCACCTCAGCCTCCCAAAGCACGGGAAGGTGTCCCATTTTAAAGAGGAGGAAGGGAGGCGCTGAGATAAGGGGGCTTTTCAGAAGCAAGCTTGAGATAACCCCCAACCTCCCACCCTTCACTGAGTAGCTACTCAGAAAATAATAGCTGTTGAATGGCCCACTGGCATCACTGTTGTCACAGCCCCTTCCCCACATGCATGGGGCCCCAGGCAGTGGGAGGCAGGCTGCTGACCCCTTTTCCTCCCCAGCTGGCAAAGAGCTGGTGAGCAAGGAGGGCTTCCAGCGGGCACGGCACGTCGTGGGTGAGATCCAGCGCACAGCCCAGGCAGCGGCCGCCCTGAGCCGAGGGGACTACAGAGCCTTCGGCCGCCTCATGGTGGAAAGTCACTACTCGCTCAGGTGAGGCCTTCTGGGTGCCCTACACTTCCTGGGCACAGGCCGGTCCCAGGTCCACACTCTGATATCATCTTTGCAGGGACGACTATGAGGTGAGCTGCCCAGAGCTGGACCAGCTGGTAGAGGCTGCACTCTCTGTGCCTGGGGTCTATGGCAGCCGCATGACAGGTGGTGGCTTTGGTGGTTGCACGGTGACGCTGCTGGAGGCCTCCGCAGCTCCCCGTGCCATGCAGCACATACAGGTGGGTGGGCGTCGGGGCCTGGCGGGCAGGAGGGACAGGGTCCCAGGGCCCTGCCCGTTGCTCAGACCTGGCCTGCCTCCCCTAGGAGCAGTACAGCGGTACCGCCACTTTCTACCTCTCTCAAGCGGCTGCCGGCGCCAGGGTTCTGACCTTGTGAGGCGCACCGGGGACGACACATGGCGGGCACAGGGCCTGCAGGCAGTGAGTCACACGCTCTGTGTCCGGCACCTGCCATCTGCAGCTGGGTGCTCAATAAACTTGTGCCTCCAATCATGGTACCCACCTGCCTCTAGAGGTGGGTGTGTGGTTGGGTGTCAGCATCCCTCCCCTACCCCAGGCTGGTGCCTGTGAGATCCCAGAAGAATAGACAGGGCAGGGCCAAGCAGTAGCAAAACCTTTTATTAAGTGCAGAATAAAGGCTGGGTCCTTGTGCTGGTCCCAGTTCTTTGGTTACAAATGGGTTTGGGCCTCTGCCCCCTTCATGCCTCTCAGGGGACACCTACCCTTGCTCTGGGGCCAGAGGAGCTGGCCCTGGGATTGGCATGCAGGGGGCTGGGCCCCTAGTGGTACAAGGATGGAGTAGGTGAGGAGGTCCCAGGGTGGGGGTGGGAAGGGGCCCAGGTTCCAGGACACGGCGGGGGCTGGGTAGGGGTCAGGTATGGAAGAACTGTTGTTCCACCTGGGTGCTGAGGGTTCCACTGGTGGTCAGCGTTTGGCTTACAAACTCCTGGGTCACAT